CAAGCCCCACGACTGACAAAAAAAAAAAAAAGGAAAGAAAGAAATCTACTAAATAGTAAGGAGCTACTGAAATTTTAAAAATAGAGTTTGTTACAGCATGCTCCACAGCAGCACAGAGGCAGGTAGATATAAAGAAGGACTGGAGGAAGGAGAGACAATGCAGGTAGGAGGCGACCTCAGGAGATTTGAGGAGATCATGTCTCTGAACTAAGACAGTACCTGAGGGAGGGTGGGAAGGAAGAATGACGCCAGAAGAATTGATGATTGTGAACTGGATAGCACTTTATCAAATGTGTGTGTGTTGTGGAGACTTGGGGTGGGATTACTATGTGGAGTTTGGGCGGTACAGTTAGAGGAAGAGGCAGAAAGGCGTCCAGGAAGAAACTTGCATTTCTAACTTTGTCACTATTTAGCTGGTGATATAGTTAACCAATATGTGAAAAGTAAGAGGTGGAAGAGCAAGTTTAGGAAGGAAGACAACGAATTCCATTTTAGACCTGTTGGGATTGGACAGTAGTGGAAGATGTGGCAATGCATATGGTAACTCAGAAGTGTTGGAGACTGAGAACAATACAAAACAAAGAAAGACACATGTTTGAAACAGAGAAGGAGCCAGAGAGGTTGGGAAAAGGCCAGCAGAAAAATGGGATGATGGACTGCTTTAGAAGACTGTTTCCCAAAGTGAGAAGAGTTGAAGTTGAGTAAGGTGCAGACTGGAGATGGACTTGTGTGGCGGAGAATGAGCTTGGAAGGGCACGGTACCACGAATTCTAAAATGGAATTCATTATCTTCCTTCCTAAACTTGCTCTTCCACCTCTTACTTTTCACATATTGGTTAACTGTATCACCAGCTAAATAGTGACAAAGTTAGAAATGCAAGTTTCTTCCTGGACCCCTTTCTGCCTCTTCCTCTAACTGTACCGCCCAAACTCCACATAGTAATCCCACCCCAAGTCTCCACAACACACACACATTTGATAAAGTGCTATCCAGTTCACATTCCAAAGGGCCTCTTTGGAATGAAGAGTAGAATGAAGGGTAATATAAGATACAAGTGCATCTTAGGAGAGAGGGGGAGGGGAGAAAGACTGTAAAATCAGCGCAAGGCTAGGAGTTGAGTGCTCTTCAATCCCTCTAATCCCTTGAACGACATAAAACTGTGCGAGCTGATTCTAAGATGATGGGTTTCCTCTATTTTTCTTGATTTGACCCTCCACATATACTTTCTAGTGTTAGGAAAATGTTTGGGAGGAAAGTAGATTATTATTATTATTATTATTATTATTATTATTATTATTATTATTATTTACTCTTTAGTATATAAGATTTGCCCAGTTTTTTTTAAACTAATTCTCATCCAGAGAGGGATGAGAATCTAATCATTCAACTCCAAGAAAAATAAATGTAATTCTTGTCATTCCACATTATGTTTGTCATTGCATTTTTAGTCTTGTGGGAATGTGATTAAAGTAGAGTATCTGCTTGGCCAACAGAAGGCCTTGAGTTCAAACCTTACACACTCACACACACACACACACACACACACAAACACACACACACACACAGAGGTTTTAAGCTGGTATTGGAATTCTAGAACTCAAAAGGCTGAGGTAGGAGGATCAAAAGTTCAAGGCTATACGGCACCTCAGCCCATCTCAAAAAAGTTGGTCATCTACTTCAGCTTCATAGTCTGACAGTTAGTAGGGCAATCTCAGCTTTCATTGTGTACTTTAGTTTAGATTGTACCCAATTTGAGGGAAATTGTTTTTTATTTTGGTTGCCATAGATAACTATTATTTTCTCTTTTCTGGCATGGATAACTGAAACCACTTAGATAGTTCATTTCTCAGTCATCAAGAATCTAGGTTTCCCCTCAGAAGTTATTTTCTCATTCCACTAAGTTCAAAAAGTAATTCCCCCATTATTTTCTGGAGCTTGGATCCTCTGTTTAAAAAAAAAACTAGAGAATGATGAGGAAGTAGAAATCCTACCTTAAATCATTACTAAATAGTTTATGCTCCAGTGAAGTTATAGCCATGTTTATATACAAAGAGTCTCAGGGATAATCCAGTACAAGACCCAGCATTCCACAGAAATGCCTCAGTGATGGCCGCAATGCAGGGGGACACACAAATGTGTGTGTGTGTGTGTGTGTGTGTGTGTGATGCGCGCGCACACACACACACACACGTGCATGCACGTGCTGGTGCTGAGGCTTGAACTCAGCACCTGGGCTCTGTCCCTGAGTATTTTTGCTCAAGGCTAGCACTCTACCTCTTGAGCCACAGCTCCACTTCTGACTTTTTTGGTAGTTAGTTGGAGGCAAGAGTTTCATAGGCTTTCTTGCCCAAGTGAGGCTTTGAACCAGGTCCTCAGATCTCAGCCTCCTGAGTCACCAGGGCCTGTTTTAATCTCTTCTCTCTCTCCATATACATATATGTGTGTATATATATATATGTGTGTGTGTGTGAATATATTATTTTATATATATGTACATATATATATATATATATATATATATATATATATATATATATATGGTAGGTAGAGCCATAAGATTTCATTTCAAAGTAGGCTACTGAGAACAAAAACACCTGGAAAACCAATGTCATAGTGAGAGAGAAACCTCTTGTAGCCTGGATCACCTGGTTATCAACAGGTGTACTCATAATTGCTCACCTGATTGTCTCCTGGACTAACATAACACTCCACACTGTAGTAGCAGCAGCTGGGGCTTTCTTTTCATCAACATATCCTGAGGGATGGTTATCTCTTTCACAAGTTCACATAGAGATCTTTTCATTGCCTAACTAAGATCAGCCTTTTTTTTTTGGATATGGGATGGACAGTTTTCTGCTCTAATGTAATTGTGAGGTTCTTTCCTCATGGCTTAACCTCTTTCTCCTTTATCTTATATTTGGTAGGAAAGGATAATATTCATTTGTTTTCTCCCACAATGTATTTTTTTAAATGTAGCTTGAAACTTTTAAAACTCCATCCTGTCTCTTACTCAAGTGAAGAAACCTCAATTTGTGGTTTGAATATCTAACCCATCATTTGTCGTTTTGTCCTTATTTAGCAATAGATCCCACACTTTAACTGGCTTTAAGTAAGATTTTTCTTTTTTTTTTTGGAAGAGTGGGTAAGTGTGGTGAAGATGACCACTTATTTTCATTGAGTCACCCCTAATTTAAGGGTTTGCTGTTGGGTTCAGGGAATAGACCTAACCAGTAACTTTTTCTATTCTTAATCATTTTATTACATTCAGATGCACCTGGGTGCCTCCATTAAAACTGCCTTTCATTCTGTTGGATACTATATATATGCTATATTATAGATACTATATATACTATATTACTAGCTACACATGTTTTTCTTGCTTTAAAAAACTCTACAACTATTGTACAAGAGTCAGAGATTATTTCTCAAGAATAAGGATTATGTTGAACTCATCTGCATCTTCCAAAGTGCCAAGTACTGTGTTTTATATGGAACCAATACATGGTAAATATATGTTGAACTGCTGAAGAAGTGCATAGTGGTATAATATTATACTGTCATGCATCCATGTAGCATAGAAAGTTCTCAAGACTTTATTCAATGTCTTCTTTTGCTTTTTGTCTACGTCTTATATTCTGTCTCTCTGAATTTTCTCAAAATATTATTCTTTGAATTTGTGTGTGTATATATGTACATATGTGTATGCATGTGTATGGGCCAGTTCTAGGGCTTGATCTCAGGGCTTGAGCATTGTCCCTGAGCTTTTATGGTCAGAGTTAGGGCTTTACCCCTTGAGCCACAGCATCACTTATAGCTTTTTTGGTGATTAATTGAAGAACTGAGTCTCATGAACTTTCCTTCCCAGGCTGGCTCTGGACTGCGATTCTTAGATCTCAGCCTCCTGAGTAGCTAAGCTTATAAGCAGGAGCCAGCACCCAGCAATTACTTGGATTTTAAGCTTGTTTTATGGGTGGATAAAACAGAGAGAATTTCACTAGTTGGCCTCATAGAGAGTTGATTAGCCTGTTTTCTGGAAATGAAAGGAACATTGGGAAGAATGTTTTACATAAGGTGAGTCTAAGTCTTTTATGGTGACGATGCAAAGAACTAAAAGATTGCTCTGGTAAATATAGCAAATAAAATTGTATCTGTTGCTTACCCAAAATAAACAGTATTTACATTATGAAAGATGACGTTTTCACAGAAAGTTCGGTCTAGAAAACAAGTTAAGAAAGTCCTAGGGAAATCTGGATTTGTTTTTGTCTAGTATAGGGATGGAGGGGGATTTAAAATTCCCATCTTCTGTCTAGGAAAGTTCCATAGCTGACGATATTTCAAGTAAGTTGTAATTTGTGTAACCCAGGGCATCTTATAGGGAATCTCTTGGCATCTTATGGTATCGTTTCTCATGGGTGATTTAGTTCTCTGTTTTGTAGCATGCATATCAGCCATGTCTTTACCACCAAATCCTGCTGAGGCAGTTGGATCAGCAAAATTCCTTGTTCAATTTGAAACACTGGGTACCAATCTCTGATGGATGGTGCTGGTAGCCAGATTATGTCTGTGAGCCACTTTAGTTATTCAGCTAAGTATATTTCATGTTGGAGTTGGGCTTTTCTTTTTAAGTATGATGTGATAGATAAATGATTTATCTATTTCAGTGTTGGGCAAGGAATACAAGCTTACACATTAGACTTAATTGTATGGCAGGCAAAAGCCTAACTTTAACAACAGCCAACTGATTCATAGTATTAATATGAAGGAAATATTCACTGACAACAGATTTTCCCCCCTTGTTCTAAAGGACAAATAATAATCCACTTGCTAATACTTGTATAAGTAAAATTTTAATCAACTCCAAGGAGAAATAAAAGGAAGCTTCGAGCTCATGAAATAACTCAGGGGTACCTTGCATATAGCTTTCCATCTTCTGAGGATTGGCTTTCCCCTGTGTGGTGCCAGGGACACCGGACACCAGCGTTTCATGTTTTGTTTTCAGGATCAGTTCAGCGATATGAGAATCAACATAAACCAGACTCCTGGGAACAGTCTTGACTTCGGGTTTACAGTAAAATGGGATTATTCTGGGATCTTCGTAGCATCAGTTGAACCAGGTAAATTGTAAAGTTTGCTGAAACATCTTTTCCTTTGCTATCTTACGCCATGGGGAAAAATATTAATTTATTTGCTATAAGAGGAGATACCCTCTCTCCTGAAGCTTTTAATTTGGTTACAAATTACATATTATATATGCTCCTGGTCCAATTAATTTTAGTGTAGAAGTCTTAATTCTTGGAGTTTACAGAATTTGGCAAAAAACTTATTATTACTATTATTTTTGGAAATGCTAGCAAAATAATGCTAAATTTGAAGTATTAGAGTGAAATTTCCCTCATTAGCTGTGTTTTTGGGTAGATACATACTGTATGTGGGTTCTTTATGTTGTTGTTTAGTTTTTATCCTTCCATGTGGGGATCAAACCCAGGCCCTGTGCACGCTGGAGGAGTACACTAACACTGAACTACATCTCCAGATGAATGCAGTGTGCTTTTGATCATCCTAAAATGTTTGTGGCTTCTGCAGATGGTTTTTGTTGGGGAAGGGGTTTGTGGGGGAGACAAACCTTTCTACACCAAGGTTTATACCAAGTCAAGCCCAGGGTCTCTGTAAAATACCAATATAAAGACTAAATTAAAACAAGAGCTATTGTATTTGAGGGAAGGACCCTGTTTACATGTTATAGCTATGCAAGATGGCATGTTAGCATTAGTTGTTTCTTTTAACTTTCATTTAGATAATGAAATCATTTAGGTACATCATTTAGATAATGGTACTTACAGCAGTAATTTTTTAAAAAAAATTCTAAGTAGTTGTACAAAGAGGTTATAATTCCCTAAGTCATGTTATAAATACACTGCTTCTTGATCAATGCCATGCCTTTCATTGCTCTCTCTGATGGCAATACATTTAAGCACTATTAAGTGGCTATGTTTTCTTATATTCCCATTATGCACATGGAAGCTCAATTAAAGTGCAATTTATTTCATGTTTTTAATTTAGAAATAGTAAAAAAGTCCTCTGTAGGCTAATAACATCTTACTATTTATCTTTTCAGGGTTAAAGATGATTCACGCTATAGAATACATGTATCATCCATGTTTTCTATGTCATTGGTGCTCACATACTTGTTTCTGATCTATCTGAAAATAATGAGAAATTGTCAGATAAAATTGAGAAGCCATGTTAGAAAAGCACTGCCTGGTAGATCACATGGGGGTTTCATTTGCTTTTGAATTTACATTGCTTAGGTGGCCCCGCAGAGATTTCCCAGCTGCAGGTAGATGATGAAATTATTGCTCTCAACAACACCAAGTTTTCATACAACGATACAAAAGAGTGGGAGGAAGCTATGGCAAATGCTCGGGAAACTGGAAACCTAGTGATGGATATCAGACGCTATGGAAAGTCTGGTGAGCGTGGTTTACCACTGTGTCTGCCTTTCTAAACTGGGAAGCTGGTCTTTGGCAAGTTTTGTAACCATTTGCTTTAGTAACATCTTTATTTTCTCATTTTATTTCATTTTGGGGCTTACAAGTGTTTTATTGTTATGTGGGAAGACATCTTGAACAACGTGTCTGGCTGTTTTGTCTGATAACTCTTCACTAGCAGATTTTCAGAATTCTCACTAGCAGATTTTCTGAATTCTACATTATTGGATTGACATATGCACTGATCAGACTAATATCAATTTAAGACAAATGTGAATGGGAAATAGCAGTTACTTATTAGCGTTATTGTCAAAAACTATGGTATGACTTAACTTTTTTATGGTATTGTAACTCTATTGGTATATGCAAGAAAATGGTAGGCTCTATTCTTATTGTTTCATCTTGAGAAACTTCTAGTATGACTTTTCATACTGGACCTTTCACTCATAATTAATTTTCTTTTTGGTCTGTCATGGGGCTTGAACTCTGGGCTTGGGCGCTGTCGCTGAGCTCTTCAGCTCAAAGCAAGTGCTCTACCGCTTGAGCCACAGCACCACTTCTGGTTTTTCTGACAGTGAATTGGAGATAAGAGTCTCACAGACTTTCCTGTCTGGGCTGGCTTTGAACCGAGATCCTCAGATCTCAGCCTCCTGATTAGCTAGGATTACTGGCTCATACTTAAGTTTTTTGCTTCAGGCTAGTACTCTACCACTTAAGCCACACCTCCACTTTCACATTTTCTCCTTTATTTCTTTGTAATTGCTGTTAGTAGAGGAGGGCACTATGTCTCTCCAGATCTACCAGTTTATGATGTCAAAACAGAACATCTTTCTGTCTGAAGGAAGGTTTCAGAAAATTTGCTAGTTCCTTAATGACTAACATGATTTAACCTTTGTGTTTGGGGAAGATGGTCTGTTAGCAAGAGCCCTGCTTTCATTTCTTTTCCATTCTCCTTGATTAGTTTGTCTGTGTTTCTATGTGTGTATTTTATATCTGTTCATTCAGTAACTTTATTCTTTCCACTTCACCGTGTATATGTACCCATTACTTGATCTTCATGTGCCAATCAGACTGGGGCAAAGACCAATCTTCCCTACCATTTACACGGCATAAAACCCTCAATCTCACCAGTATGGCTACCAAAATTATAGGTTCACCCGAAACAAAGTGGATTGATACAACCTCTGGAATTTATAACTCGGACAAGTCTTTAAGTCTATCCACGACAACTGATTTCTCTGAAAGCCTTCAGAGTCCTGTAAGTATCTTGAGAAATGGGAGTGTTTGTATAAATGAGATTGTAAATGCAAAAGATGAATTACCTTGTTTGAACAAGTTTGATGATACTTTAAAGAAACACATGAATAATTAAATACAGTGATTTATCTTAAAGAGAGTAAAATGTAGTTAAAAAAAAAAAACTAGAATGCACTACTCTTCATTGTGTACAATTAGTGAGCTAGGGAATGGAAACATCAAAAGATCCCATATTGCAGTTCTGTAGGTATTTCCCACCAATCTTTCATTTTTACTACTTTCTCTCAGATCTTTATGAACATGAAGTAGCAATTATGTAAAATTATATGGTGTAACTTCTGTATACATTCTTTAGTCTCCACTGGCAAAGTGCAGTAATTGTGTGCAATATGAAACCTGAAGCTTCTGACTTTTCATGTGGGTGAATTTAATAGGTAGATTTACATGTGTGATTAAAACATAATCATTCCATTAACTGATTTGAAATTATAATGCACACGTTTTTCTAAGTGTCAAAGCAATGTATTTTTATATACACTTTGAAAAAATGTATTTAAAAATTTTAAATTTATCTTCAGTTAAATTAACAATTTGAAATTTTATTTATTTCATTTATTTATACTTTTTGTAGTGTTGAACCTCAGACACAGGGCACTCTACCACTGAGATATATCTGAACTATATTTATTTTATTTTATTTATTGATTAATTTTTGAGGCAGAGTCTCATTATAAGGCTAAGATTGTCCTTGAACTTGCAATCTTCCTGTCTCAGCCTCCTAAGTACTGGGATTACTTGTGTGACTCATCACTCCTTGAAAAATTTTTAACTAAATGCAACTTTATTTCATGAGGAAATCTTGATATATTTTGTAGGAAAGATTTAAATGTTAGTTCCATATGACTGCTTTGGTTACTTATAAATAGAAGCCAAATGGATTAATGATTATTTTGTTCATCATTTTTTCTTAGATCATTAATGACTGATTAAACCTAAGGCCATCCTTGCTTGTAGCTAGTCATTAATCTTTTCACAAATATTGGAAAGCAATGAAACAATGTTAAGTTTCGACTGCATGTTAAAAGCCATAAAGAATGACTAATAGCCTGAAAACCCTATCTAGTTATATTTTCACTAATGAGAAATGCATTATTTAATTCCATTGTCCAGTGGGAAGTAATATTAATTAGCCTTTTTGTCCTTTATAGTATACTGAATCAAAAGAAATCAATGGAATTCACGATGAAAGCAACACTTTTGAATCAAAAGGTAACACCATTATTTCTTATGTTTGCATATAGGAAAAGTCCTAGCTATCAAGTTCAGCTATAACAATGAATGTCTGGTTAGGTGCCAGTGGCTCACGCCTATAATCCTAGCTACTCAGGAGGCTGAGATCTGAGGTTCATGGTTTGAAGCCAGCCTGATCAGGCAAGTTTTATCTCTAACAAATTATTCAGAAAAAGCCAGACATGGTGCTGTGGCTCAAGTGATAGAGCACTAACCTTGAGCAAAAGAGGCTTAGGGATAGCACCCAGGCTCTGAGTTCAAGTCCCAGGCCTGGCAAAAAAGAAAAAGGAAAAAAAAAAAAAGAATGTGAATGAAAGAGAAAAGCAGACCTCTTCAAGTTGAACTACAAGGTTAGCTAGCATAAAGATCCGATGTCCACTGAGGGCATTCAGTTCTAGCGTTGTTCAACATTCAGGAAATGCAAACAAAATATTGACAGGACCTTCCTGAGTTCTGGGGGCCCCTGAGCTTAAGCCAAGTAAGAACAGGTTTTCCCAAGTCTGGCAGCTTTCTGACTGTGGGATGCTGGTAAAGAGAATCTTTGTTAAATGCAAAACGATGAATGAAATCTCCCTTCCCCACTTACTGTTATGAAAGGGACAAGTGTCAGACAGCTAATCTTCATAGAGAAATGCCTGTGGCAATGGCAGTGTTCATTCATACTCATTTGAAATGAGAAAGAAGGCAAAGTAGCTAGGAAAATACTGGAGTTCTTCTTCCTCACTCTCCTTCTTCTGCTAACCTAGTGGTAATTTACCTCCTGCATACTGGGTACTGTTTCTTGAACATAGAAACTAAATAAGAAGGAACTGTCTAGTTCACGTAAGCAGGGAACAAAACCCAAAGGAGATTTTTTTTTTCATCATGAAACTGGGCTTCTTAAAGCATGGCTGGGCTTTTACACAGTGCTTTAATGACATTGAAACCAAGTGTGCCTGTTTAGAATACACATGTCAACGACAGTCTAGGTCCATAAGCTTCCTTTTTCTTCCTGATTATTTATCCCTGTGTTTCATTTTGACAGTATTAAGTATGATATTTAATGTTTTTCAGTTGTCTTCTTTATCAAAAGAATTTTTAAACATTGCTTTTTTTTTTTTTTATGATACTAAGTCGGTGACAGTCTAGGTCCTGTCTTGCTAGTGGGTCAGGTAGAGCTAATAATAAAGAAACCCAAGTCTTTAATGATATAGAGATGCTCAAAGCCCTGTCATTTGAAGGTTTTGTTTAAATAGCTAATTACCCACTGATATCCACTGATAATCACATTTACATCTTACGTTATAGTCTTGTTTATAGTTAGATGTTTCCTTTCTCTTTTCTTTCTGAATTCTGTTTACTTAAGTTAGTAACTATGCAGTCTTGAAAACTATTATAGTTTAAGATATTATATTTTATATAATATATATTATAGCTTAAAATATTATGGTTTAAAAATCTTAATTTTAGTATTTTTTGTATTTATCATCTTACTGATTTTATCTTCTTCCCCAGTAGTTTTGAGTAACTATTCATCAATATTGTGAAAACTCTTTTCAAAAGAGATTATTTTGGATTGATTTACCTAAGTTAAAAATAAAAAGGGTTTATTTTCTTTTCTCTAAAACTCTTGCATGGATGTTATGGCTTTCATAGCTATGAAAATTTAATGCTAGCTACTAAAATTTATTAATAAATGTATTTGTTCATTTTATTAATTCAAATGTAGGATAGTCTACTAAGAAAAATGTGTCTTATCTGTCAGAAATAACTTGTATCTTCTATGGCTATCAGTTTGGTCATTAAAAAAATAATACTGCTACAGTTTGGTGAGGTTTTTTTTTTAAAGTATCATTTAGTTTTTACCAGTGGTAAGAAATGAAAATGAATGTGACGTGGTATATTTACTTATTGTTTTTATTTTCCAATTAGCATCTGAACCTATTTCTTTGAAAAACTTAAAAAGGCGGTCACAATTTTTTGAACAAGGTAAACCACAATGCTAACCATTCATTGCCTTTCACGCTCTTGTTCTCTCTCTCTCCACTTTGCCTCGTGGTCTGTGGTTCTGGGCACTAAGCCTCTTCGATTTGACTGTCATTATGACCAAACAACGTAACCCATTTCCGTTCTTTCCCTAGGAGCGGCAGGCTTTTCTTACAGTTCATGGGTCTACCTCTGTGGTAATGGGTCTTTGTGTGTCCCTTGTATACCTCTAAAGATGTTTTCTCTTTTAACTTTGTGAAACAAACCAAAACACTGAGCTGCTGTTAAAAACACATGTCTTCCCACTGGGTAACAGTAAGAAATGAGGAATTTCATTTAAGCCTTACTGCTTCCTACACCTGGTATAATATTAGATTACACCAACATGCAGTTTTTCCAATGTATTAAATTAAACCGGGTTTCGGTTGTAGAAGATGATTTTTAATAAAGAACAATTCTGCTGGGTACCAGTGGCCCATGCAATTTCTCCTTACTAACTAGGGAGGCCAACATTGGGAGGTTCACAGTTCCAGGTTGAACCTGGGCATAAATGTGAAATCCTTTCTCCACCAGTAGCTGGATGGACATGTTATTGTGCACCTGTCATCCTAGCTGGGTGAGAAGCATAAATAGGTGGATCATGGTCCACGCTGGTCCAGGCATATACATAAGATCCTATTTTTTTAAAAAAAGGACTGGGAGCGTGGTTCAAGAGGCAAAGTGCCTGCTTAGCAAGCACAAGGTCCTGAGTTCATCTCCCCATAGCCATCAAAAAACAAAAACAAGAACAACAACAGTGGTATTGGGCTGCTATGACATGGTAGCTTTAGTGTGTCGAACTGACTGCTTTGTTGACTTTGAATTACATTCAGAATCAATACATTTTGGCAAGTGATGATTTAAAAACTATCCATGTTGGTGTAGTTTGTCAGGGCTGCCCAGGAAGTGTGCTGCATGCCACAGTGCCAACCCCTTCCTGTTTGTCCAGTGATCTGTCCCTTGAATGAGTGCTCTCTCTTCAACTCTAATGAAGAACTTAAAAGTAATACCTAACATTTTAGATGCAGTGGTCAGAGTAGATGGCACTGGTACTGTCTAAAATGTTAGTGTTTCTTTTAAGATTAATGAACCATGTGTAAACATGCTTTGTAACATGATACTTACTGCGTTTGTGTCTTTGTGTTAACTGTCTAGGTAAGGTCTTTTTTTGACCGGCAATAGCAACAGTAGCCCTGCATGTCTATTTGTGTCTGTATCTGTAGTGTTTTTGATTCAAAATTTTCATTAAACTCTTGTTTTCCTATGGCTATTTAATTGAAATTGTATTATATTCCTAATGCAGATTGGCTCAAACAAAATAATTCCTTTTCTTTCTCTATTCTAATTTTCTTTTGGCTTTTCATCAATAAGCTGTTTTAGGGCAGAATATTTTTCTAAAGCTTGAAGCAATTTTCTTAAAATATATGTGAGTAATTTATTTGTGAGCTGCGGTTTTCAGGAAAAGTTAAAAACACTGCTGGTGTACTTTCGGAATGTAGCTTTAAAAAAAATTACCAGAATATGGTCCCCCCGCCACAATTTTGTAAGCCCCCTAAGGATAAAAGGAATCATGTGTGTAAGTTTATACATGGTTCTTGAATAGGAACGGTGAAATGTTCTTGAAAACATTTGATGTAGTGGCATATTTATTTAAAGTAGCTCAATAGCGAGAGAACCTGAAAAATATGATGGGGACTTGTTTCATTGTGGTTGAACAAATAACTAGATTTGATAGGTAATGTAAAATTTGAGCTTTTTTGCCAAATAGAAAATACCTAATTTGGTGATAAAACCTTGAAACCTGTTTAGAAACATCCATTGATTGAGCTCTCAGATCTACAGTTTTGGGGACGCCATTGGCACCTGTGGTTTACCTTCTTATTGTTCAGTTTGAGTTTAGAAGATGGAGATAGTGGAGCTGGAGGGAGAAAAGGCTTACGGATTGCTGTTTTAAAAAGTTGCTGTTAGCAGGTGCTAGTAATCCTAGCTACTCAGGAGGCTGAGATCTGTTGGTGGGTTAAAGCTAGTCTGGGCAAGAAAGTCTCTGAGACCCTTATCTCCAATTAACCACCAAAAAAACAGAAAAAAAAAAGCCAGAAGTAGAGTTGTGGCTCAAGTGGTAGAGTACTAGTCTTGAACAAAAAAGCTAAGGGGTAGTGTACAGGCCCTGAGTTCAAGCCAAGCATTGTTGGCACGCTACACATGCATACATATACACACATACACATACACACACACACACATACACATACACAATGTTGATGGCATTAGTGTAGAGAGAACTAGTGATAGAACTCTGAAAGAAATTATTTGGTAGAAATGGAAAGACTTACATTGTATTTTTCTTCTCTCCTTGCTCATGTGCTGGAATGTAGGAAGCTCTGATTCTGTGGTTCCTGATGTAAGTAGTATTCATTTGTCATTAGAAATAAATATAGAGAGGGGTTTGAAAAGACTAAATTACTATTCCAGAGTGTTGCTTTGCATTATTTTTTATTGCATAAAGGTGATCAAGTAGCAATTTTTTCAAGTTGAAAAAGACTGACTTTGAAAAAAGTATAGCTCTACTTCCCTGATGCCCTGGCTGAGTTGAATAATTTATACACGAATAATTGAATGCTTTAGTAGATGATTTGGTGAAGTATGTTGATTTTTGTTTGTCTATCTTGTCTGACATCTGGTTAGCTTCCCGTTCCAAGCCTCAGTGCCCCAAGTCGCTGGGCATGGGATCAAGAGGAGGAGCGAAAGCGGCAGGAGAGATGGCAGAAAGAGCAAGATCGCCTACTGCAGGTAGCACTGGCCAGCCAAGGGGTATGGGGAAGTAGGCTTCATTTCATAGTTCTTTTCTGGACCATGTCAACAAGTAAATTTTTCTGGGTGCTACTGGCACATGCCTATAATCCTAGCTACTCAGGAGGCTGAGATCTGAGGACTGATGTTTGAAGTCAGCCCAGGCAGGGAAGTTTTTAAGACTTTTATCTTCAATCTACCACTCAAGCTACCTTGAGCTATGGCTCAAGTCATAGAATGCCCCAGCCTTGGGTAAAAAAAAAAAAAATCTAAAGGACAGTGCCCATGCCCTGAGATCAAGCTCCAGTACCAGCACCAAAAAAAAAAAAAAAGGAAGTTTTATTATTATTATTTTTTGTGGCACTGGAGATTAGACTCAAAGCCTTGTCATTGTCTTTTGTGTTTGGTTTGATTTGGGGATAGAGTCGTGTTCTAATCTTGCCATGCCAGATATAGTTTGTGATCTTCCTATGTCTCCCCAGTAGCTAGCATTACAGACAAATGCCACCATACCAGTCAAATTCTGAAAAGCAAACCCAAACCACCCTCTTTTAATGAATTCCACGAGAATAAGGGGAGGCCATGGGTCAAAGTTGGCGTGTCTATCTTGCTTCCATTTTTAGTTCAACATAAGCTCTTTTCTACTACAGGGACTAAAACCTGTTTGCTTAAGTGAAAGTTAAAGAGTGAGGGGAACTTGTAGATCCAGCAAAAGCTAATGTTGATTCATTAATCTGCCCTATTTTCTCATAGGAAAAATACCAACGTGAGCAGGAGAAACTGAGGGAAGAGTGGCAAAGGGCTAAACAGGAAGCCGAAAGAGAGAACTCTAAGTATTTGGATGAGGTAGTATTGAAATGTGTCTTTCCGGCTCTCTTCTTGATCTTTTTTGTTTGACAAAACAAGCCAAGAAACAAGACACCTCATTTCCCTCTCGTTTGAACCACATATTTATCTCTGTTACTTTTTGGAAACTACTATGACTTCTGGTTGTATTTGCATTTTTCTTTTGATCTCTTAGCTTTCCTCCTAAGTTTTCCATTATTCATCAAGTAATAGTATCAATAGAATGTTAGTTAGTCTTCCTTTCTTCTAATGTCACTCAGATGGTTTTTATAAAAGTTATTGAATTACCTCTGTTTTATGAGGAGGGTATTTCATTGTTATATATCCTTACATGTTAATGCTCTATTCCACTCAATTTCACTCCCTGTGTCCTTTCCTCTAAGAAACAATATCTGCAACAGATTTTCCTGTTCCATGTTCATAGTTGGAAATAATCTCCTTTTTCCCTCTTTTTTGGCAGTCAAGGGGCCTGAACTCTGGGCTTGGGTGTAGTCCTTGTTCTCTTCAGCTCCAAGGCGAGTGCTCTACCACTTGACCCACAGCACTACTTCTGGTTTTCTAGTGGTTTATTGGAGATAAGAGTCTCCTGGACTTTCCTGCCCGGGCTGGCTTTGAACTGTGATCCTCAGATCTCAGCTTCCTGAGTAGCTACGATTACAGGCATGAGCCACTGGCACCTGGCTCTGGAAATAATCTATTTTGACAACATTTCCTATTCTTTATTGTCCTCTCAACACCACCCCCTACTAGTACATTGTATAGCTTTTTAAGTGATGAACTTTACTTGATTAGAAGTCTGCGATACGCTCAGCTCATCTGAAACCAAATCTGTCTGCATATGACTGTAGCAGTTGAGATGGATTTCTCTTCTCTTGGCCACACAGGAGCTGATGGTCCTGAACTCAAACAACATTTCTCTGACCACACGACAGCCTACTCTTTCCAGCTGGGAAGCCACATGGAGTGAAGGCTCTAAGTCCTCCGACAGGGAAGGAAGCCGAGCAGGAGAGCAGGAGAGGAACCATCAGGAAGAGGAAGTGATTCATGAGGAGCCAAGACAGAAGCTTCAGGACCAACTGATTCTGGAGCAAGAGAGGAAACTGAAGGAGCAGCAACAGATGCAGGAAGAGCAGGAGGAGGCCATCGAGGCACAGAAACACCAGGCAGAGAGAGAGAGGGAGACTTCAGTCAAAATATACCAGTACAGGAGGTCTGTACCATAGCCCAGGACTACCAGGGGGATTATGCAGGCCTGGCTTCACACTTTCTAGAACATCTGATTTTAAATATGTACCTCTCGCTTCCCTACCCTTTCTGTCCATGTGCCATAAACCTGTGTTGTATTAATGCCTGCATTTGTTTGTCTGTTGGCCTTCCTGCCCCCAGTAAAATACAGGTGCTACAAGGGCAGCAAGTTTGTTTTTGTTCTGTAGTGTCACTCTAGAACATTCCTGGAACATAGAATATCCAACCTATTTTGTGGAGCAAGTGACTGAGTGAATGAATGTATGAATATTGAGTGTTGGCATTAGTAGTGGTTTTCTGCAAAGGCTATTTGCATGAAAAGGTTAGAATAACAATATTTGATACCCTGTCTTATAGTCAGGGAAAATACCAAAGTTTATTATTTTGTCTGTATTTCCTCCATCTTTTAGACCTGTTGATTCCTATGACATACCGAAGAGAGAAGAAGAATCTTCAGGTTTGCTTCCTAGTGACAGGTGTGTAAAACATTTCCTTTTATTTGGTTGATGCCGACTTCAGATGAATGCTCCAGAGTGTACCTAGATGATTTTCATTTAGCCATTTGTCTTTGGTAGGGTACAAATAGAACTTGTGGGTTAATCTTTGTATCAGTTAGCTTTTGCAGTGTAACAAATAACCCTATATTTTTGGTCATGATTTTGTAGATCATTTTGTGTGTTCAGTTTGCCTAGACAGTTATTTTAGTTGCCTGGGTTCACTACTAGTTAAATTTGTCTAGTGTGTATGCTGCCAGTTAACTAAGTAGAGTTGGTAGTTTAGCAGCTGGGGCAATGAAAGCAAGTGGGTTGGCAGTCTCAGCACTCAGCACGTCATTGTGGTCTTAATGGGTGGTTGGTCAGGGAAAAAATTAGAGAGAGGATCACAGAGAAGAGTTAAGTGACTAGCAGAGAGGAGAAAAGCCATAGATCTTAAGGGAGGAAGAACATTACAAAGTCATTGAACACTCAGGGAAAATGGTGTCCATATATTATAATTCACTGTAACCTTTACTTAAAAATACTGACCAAGATGCAGTGTATTTATAAACTGACATTTGAATTGTAACCCCTTTGTACAACTACTTAGGGATAATTAAACATTTAAATGAAGTATATAGTCTTTACATTTTTATTTTTCCTTTTTAAAATTTTTTTTTGAGAGTATGTTGCCATGTTAGTCTGGAATGGACTAGGTACATCAGGCTGGCCTGGGGTACTTCCTGCCTCAGCTTCCTGAGTGCTGGGATTACAGCATGCATTGTCATAATCCCAGGCTATTTGAAAAACTGCTAGCAGTTGTTTAAGATGATTGTTACAAAGGATTAGCCAAGCACATCTTCAATGAGAATTATAGAACTGCTGGTCAGAATGAAGATAGGCTTTCACTCACCTGCAAAGTTATATGCTTAAACATTTTTTCCCGAAATCCTTAAGTTTTCATGTTTTAAAGTAATTTTTAAAATATTTTGTTATTTTGAAATCATCAAAGTTAGTCTATAAATATGCAGTGTGGAACCGTTAGCTTGTACTTGCAGGGCTGAAATTCCTTCTTTAGAGGAGGCTTGTTTGGGTATGAGATACCAGGAAAGACAAAACTAGGCAATCAGGCTGTCACTGGAAAGGACTCAGAGTGGGAAAAGGAAAGGAATAAATGGCTAGAGAAACATCTAGTGATAAGTGACTGTTTACAGTGAATCCCTCTGAGTAACTATGGATCACTAAAATGTGTAAAGCTATGCTGTGTTTTTTAAAACTTTATGTAACTGATTACCTTGGAGCTAGATAATTAAAATGCAGGGAAAAGAATTTTAAGGCATCTTGGAAAATGCAAAACACCTCCAGGCAGTGCTGATGAAGAATGCCTGAGAGGAATTGAGGAGTAATGTCTGTACATAGTTATGTATGTCGTGTACCATAGCATGAATGAAGCCCTAGAGTCAATCCTGAATACTGAAAAAACTAATAATGCATAGCATATACTATTATACAAAGTGCACATGAATATATTGTGATATACACACGAGTATATAATAGCATGGCACACCTGGAAAACAGCTACATTCATGAATCATAAACTTATATCTACCAAAACAAAACACTTATTATCAAATGTTTGGCCTTAAACTCATGATCCTCCTGTCTCTGCCTCCTAAGAAGTTGGGATTATGGGCATGTACCATTATACTCAATGTCACTAAGTTCAGTATTCCTAATAGAGTGAGAATGAGATTAGCAAGTGTTGATTTACATACCTAAATATTAGGTGCCTTCCAAAGTTGCCAGTGCAGTGTGCTTTAAATGCTAGGGTCCTGTTTGAAATGCTAGGCTAGTATTTCATGAAATGTGAATCTAGAATGATCAATAGTATTGTAGTGCCCCATACGTGGACATCTTGATTCCGGGGCAGAGTGGAGGAGGCAGGGCAGTCTGACTCTGGATGAACTGGTGGCAGATACTTTGTAAACCTGGTAAGATAAAGATCCGGAGTAGAGTGAGTTTTATCAGTAATCATTGTTTTAGCTGTTACAGAAGCTAGAGAAGTATGGTTACACATGAACATCTATTTCTATCATCTCACTCTTTGTTTTCTGCTAGTTGGCACAATGTGAAAAATTCCTTGGTTTAAAAATAGAGTTCTCTGATGGAAAGGGTGACAATTTATCAAGATACATTTACGCATTAATTGACATGTAGAATTGAAATCCTTTTTTTAACGATGATTTAAAGATAATAATAAACAAGGTATTGAAGAGAAAAAATATAGTACTTCTCAACAGACATAGGAAATACATTATCTGCTTAAACAGCATCTTTTATTTTTGTATTTTTTTTACTTTATAAATATGAAAAAGATGTTCTTATTAATGAGATATACATAATATATTATATTCTGTGTTTTAGGAGTAAATCCCGATCAACTACTGAACTAGATGATTACTCTACAAACAAAAATGGTAACTGTGATTTTTTTCTCTCAAATTTCCTCAGTCACAATTGCTTGTTAGTGCTTTCACATGCTATGATGTTTTTTAAGGCAAGATATCACAGGTTCATTAAAATAAAATAAAATATTTACTATTTTAGTGTCTCAAAAATAACAACCATGGTGTTTATTTTGGCTTTATGATGGGAAGAGATTGGGAGGTTATCGTGGTTTAAGTAACTAATGCAGTGTGTGGGAGTTCTGCAGAAAGCTGCTGAAAAAATGGGTCAGAAAATGTTTTGCAGTATATCAGGGGACTTAACATTTATATGCAAATTTGAAGTTCTATATTTAAGCATATCAAAATGTCATAAATGGAAAGTGATGATGATTTCACTAACTTTGTGAAAATAACTTGGAACCTGGAATTATTGGTATGAAGTATGCATCTGATAAACTAGCACAACTGAACTTCTATAACTAAGGAAAAGCAAGCATCATTTTGGGCAGGGTTTGTACAAGTAGATATGCTGGGCAGTTCACTAAGTGGTGAAGGTCCTGGAAAGGATTGAAGTGGACAGACCTCCTCCCCTCCCTGCCCCATTCTAGCCCATCACTGATGTGTGGGGAAATATAAGCTCTGATTGCCACCTATTTCTAGCATACAAAAGACATTAATTACGAAAACATTAAAACCCACATGTTTCCATGTATTGTCTTTCAGTTGCTAAGAAGGAAATCTGTGAGCAAAACGTATCTGTTAGCTGGAACTGAGTGGTACTTAGTTGGTGACTTCTGATTGAATGAAGCTTATAAAATTTATAATTTCCATTAGTATTTTGGGGCCTGTCTTTGCTCCTTGCCTTGAATAAGTAGGATCTGCCATTATTTTGGCTTAAGTAGCAGTATTTCCCCCCTCCTCCCCCCAGTTCTTCAAGAACTTAGTGAAATGCTTAACTATGACCAATTATCCTCTCTCTAAAGTCTCAACTTATCAGATACTTTCTGATAAGGTTCTTCTGGTCTTTGGGCCTTTCCCTGATTGGATTTTCATCCCTTTCACCCTGAATTGACCCTTGCCATCATTAAAGTACTTCTAAGTTGTGGTGATTATATTCTGCTTTGAGGAAAACACATGGCCTGCTAGTACAATAACTATGATTGTCTGGAAGCAGCTGGCTCATAATTCTGCTTTGTATCTAGTCTTGTTATTTTTATTTTTAGTATGTTTTCTCTCCTTTACTAACCAATTGTAAGATCCTGAATTGCAGCCAACAGAAATCATTAAATACTTGATGGAGTAACATAGTTATGGCATTAGGGCTTTGTGAAATAGAAAATGTTTTATGTAAAACCTGATGAAATTGATAAACTGTCCTACATGTGAAAGAGTATAAATGCTAATTGTTGTTTGGAAGAGAACTAAAGCACAAACAACAGACTTTGAAAGAATGACAATAGCAGTGAATCTATAGAAAGAGAGAAAGTTAATCCATTGATAGAATTTCCTTCTACAAAGATTGGCATGATACTTGAAAGTTGTGGATATTTAACCTAAATTAGAAATTATTATATTATTATATAATTAGAAATTATTATATAATAATTAATATAGTACTATTATAACCTAAATCCGTTTTATGTTATAAATATGCTCTTATTCCTACAGACATTAGTCGTGACCTTTTTTTAATGACTTATGCCAAGAAAACTTGGGCCATGTCATCCAGGCATAAATCCAGTTGTATCTTCTCTCTCTCTTCAAGATTTTTTGTTTGTGGTTTTTTGTTTTTGTTTTTTTGGTCATAGGGCTCAAATTCAGGGCCTGAGCACTGTCCCTGATCTGTTGCTTAAGGCTGGTGCTCTATCACTTTTAGACAGAGTGCCACTTCTGGTTCTTGGGTGGTTAATTGGAAATAAGTGTCTCACAGACTTTCCTGCCCAGGTTGGCTTTGAACCATGATTCTTGGATGTCAGCATCTTGAGCAGCTAGGATTACAGGTATGAGTTACCAGCGCCTAGCAGTTAGTTGTCACAACAAGCATTCTATTGTATATGCTTAACTGATTGAATTTAGGAAGGAAGGAAAAAGTAGAGGACAAGACAACACTTTCTAGATGAGTGTTTTGTAACTGAGCATTGTAGGAGGTGTACTTGTTCTTTACCTTCGTAGGCAGCCTCTGTGTTCTTCCCCCAATGCGTTCTTCAACATGCTTCAGCTGTGGGACCAGAACTTGCAGAAATAGGAAGCGGATAGTTACTTTTTGTTCTCATACAGCCGCCTCACTGGAAATGGAAAACGTTAGCACCTGTGCACAATGTCTCACATGAACTATCATGGGAAGTTTATCCACTACCTTATTTTCTGTTTATTCCTGAAGCTTTTGCTATTGCTTTTTATTTAGGAAGCAGCAAATATTTAGACCAAATTGGGAGCATTAGCTTTTCACAGAGGAGCTCCAAGAAGGATCCAGTCCCCTCAGGGGCAGAGCGGGAGAGACAGCAAATTCTCCAGGAAATGAGGAAGAGAACTTCCCTCCACGATGACAACAGCTGGATCCGGCAGCGCAGTGCCAGTGTGAATAAAGAGCCGATTTGTCTGCCTGGGATGATGAGAAGGTACGAGCCTACAGAAATTACTCTCTCTCTCTCTCTCTGATGGCCATTCACACAGGAAAAAGATCCTCTTTTGCTTTTCAGCTTACTTAAGACTGAGGGGAGAGAGGGAAGTAGGAAAAAGTGATTGAGTGCGATTGAGTATATGTCAGGCACAAGCCAGGTAGAGATCTCTCTCACAATTTAGAATTACCTTTGGTAGATCAGTATTAATTCTAGTATCCAGTTTTTGAGAGATTCTTCTAAAAGTTGTATTTAAGTCAGTGTTGAGCTCAATCCGGTGTATTCAATTTCAGGGAAATGGACCTCAAACAGTTGTTGAGATTTAGGGTTCAGGGTAGCAATGAACGAGCACCTCTCAAGATTCATGTGGGAGCCAGAACAACTTTGATTTGAAAGTTAAGGCCACTCTCACTGGTTCCTACTAAGGACAAGTTAACTTCTGGGAGGTTAAAAGTATCTTGTCTGAACTGGGGGTTAGTGGCTCACACCTGTCATTCTAGCTATTCAGGAGGTTGAAATCTGAGGATTGAGGTTCAAAGAAAACCTAGGTAGAAATCTCGGTGGGACTCTTATCTCCAATAAGTCATCAAAAAGCTGAAAGTGGAGCAAATGGTAGAGCACCTGCCTTGAATAAAAAAGTCAAAGGCTGAGGTCCTGAGTTCAAGTCCCAGTACGTACGTACGTACACACACACACACACACACACACACACACACACACACACACACACACACACACACACACACACACACACACACACACACACACACACACACACACAGAGGTATCTTATCTAGTGTTGTAAAAATAAAGGTGAATACTTTAACAAAAATGTCTAGCTTAGTTCATCTCCTCAAATGCTTAACATGTATTTTTTTGGATGAATTTTGAAAGGCTTTAGGATTTATAGGTTTCTATTACTAAAAAAGGGCTATGTAAAAATGTTCTTATTTAAAAATATGGTTTTCTTTTCACCTTGGTTGGTATTCTTTTATCAAAACACAGAAACAAAAATTACGGTTGCTTGAAATGGGAGATGTCTTAATACCATTGACGATGAAGAACAATTTACTGGTTACAGTAATTGTACACATAACTCAGCGTCATGACTGCCTGGGAAATGCTTAAAAGTGCGTCTCCGAGGGAACACACCCATGTGTTGCATAGATCCCTAGTTGAATAGCTAGTTATTTTGGCCAATCCTGTGTGTGTTTCAGAGGCGAGTCTCTAGATAACCTGGACTCCCCCAGGTCCGGTTCTTGGAGGCAGTCCCCGTGGCACAGTCAGCCCGCAGGTGTCTACGCCTCCTCCTCTGTTCAGGACTTCAGTCGCCCACCGCCTCAGCTGCTGTCCACATCAAACCGTGCCTACATGCGGAACCCTTCATCCAGTGTGCCCCCTCCTTCAGCTGGCCAGGTGAAGACCACCATCACCAGCATGGTGACCTCACGGTCCCCCGTCCCACGCAGCCATTCCCCCTCCACTTTGCAGTCGGGGTCTCAGCTGCGCAACAGGTGAGGCTCCTTTCTTTGGTTTGGTCCCAGGGGTGTTTTGTCAATGAGACTTTATCTACATCTTGGCCAAGTCTTCCATGAAAAAAAAAACCAGCCAAACAAACCCTCTGGAATATGTCAGATTCCGTGGAGAAGCTATCTCAGTACTCTTCTGTGCTGCCCTAATAGTATCTGTGGACATCTGGTAAAGCCATCAGAGCCCTTAAAGTTATCTGCTTATTGCTGGGGTCTCCTTGCCAGTGCAGTGGGCAGGGTCTCAGCTGTAGGATGTACCTGAATAATTTTCCTTGTAGAATGACAAAACCATACAGCTCCTGAATGTTTTTCTCATTTCTGAGTAAAAGCAGTATTCTAAAATCTTTGATTATTTTTATGACATTGTGATAGCAACTCGCATTTTAGGAACCAAGGATAGAAGAAAAGCCTCATCAGCAAGCTGTATTGTCAGGAAAGTGTTAACAAGCTGGATTTAAAAAACAAAACAATTGAGTAGTTCAGATTTCTTTTGGGGGATTTGGATTTGCCACAGCCATTGCTTGCAGAAGACCAATTGGTTTGCCGACATTGTCCAAGTTACATCAGCTGGATTCTGTAGGTCATGTCCATGTGGGGAGTGTATGAGCTGTGTAGCCCCTTGCCTTGTTCAGTGGGGTCAAGCCTTAGGCTCAGTGTGAGTCAGGTTTTGAGATCCTCATGGCTTTTGTGCCTCACTTACTTGCAACAGAAATACTTCTCCATGGAGTTCTCCCAGAATGCTGCAACATTCTTTTGGCTTATAATACTTTTTAGCACAAAAAAAATAACTTCAAAGTTGAAATAGATTGATGCTAAGATTGTTTGGCACCATGGAAGAGACTTAAGAAAACAGTTTATACAACCCATGTTGTCTACTGAAGAATCTCAGTTCAGAGAAAAGAGGAAAGGATTTAATGGTCAGTTTGTTGGGGGGAGGTGAAACCTGTGCAGTTTACTTACTGGGAGCTCCATGCTAAGAGAACCCAGGACAGAGACAGGCTGTGGGCTTTCTTCCCTGCTTACCTTAGCCTGAATTAAAGCAGAAATCCCCCTAAAAGGCAATTTTCTGGCAAAGCCCATTCTACTCTTTGCAGGACCACAATTAGAAAGCACTCGTATTTCTAACTAGATGGTTAAATGACTAGGAAAGAGAATGAGAACTAAAGCTGAGAAGACACGTGGGAGAGGACTCCAGTGCCTGGCCCAGGAAGCCGGGATGGGGAGCCCTTCCCACGGGTAGCTTGCATGGCTGGAGTTGTGTGTTCTGGTGAGGTTAAGCGGAAAGGTTTAAAGGCTCAGAGATGGAAAGATATTGCTGAGATTATAGGTGATCTAGTGGAGTACCAAGTGGACTACATTAACAGACATTCCTTTAGGTGAGTTGGTGTCAAAGGTCAAGGGCTACCATGGGCTTCATTCCAGGTTACTGCTTTGGCTGGTGAACCTTTTTCCCCCAAGAGATTATATAGACTCTCTCTCTCTTTCTTTCTGTCTCTCTCTCCTCCCTCTCTCTCTCTCCCTCTCTTTCCCTCTCTCCCTCGCTCTCTCCATCTCTCTCCCTCGCTCTCTCCATCTCTCTCCCCCTCTCTCTCCCTCTGTCTCCCTCCCCTTTCCCCTCTCTCCTCTCTCCTCTCTCTCTCTCTCTCTCTCCCCCTCTCCCCCTCTCCCTTTCTCCCTCTATATCTCCCTCTCTCCCTTTCTCTCTTTCTCTTTCTCCTCTCTCCCCTCTCTCCTCTCTCCCTCTTGCTTGAACTCTGGCCTGGGCGCTGTCCCTGAGCTTCTGTGGTTCAAGGCTAGTGCTCTGCCACTTGAGCCACAGCTCCACTTCCAGCTTTTGGTGAGTAATGTATTGGAGATGAGAGTTTCATGGACTTTCTTGCAGGGACTGGCTCGGAACCACCATCCTCAGATCTCAGCCTCCTGAGTAGCCACTGGCTCGCACCTGCGGGGGGGCTTTCCTAACTGATCCCCCTATTGTTAGTGACAGAATAAGCTCTTCAGTAGGAACCTTGCACTGCACAGTTAAAAGCCTCCGTTCCCTCCTCCCTGTTTCTGCATCTAGGTCAGTGAGTGGGAAGCGCACGTGCTCCTACTGTAATAACATTCTGGGCAAAGGAGCCGCCATGATCATCGAATCCCTGGGGCTTTGTTACCATTTACATTGCTTTAAGGTGAGACAGAGACAAAACAGCTTCTCAGGCCTGCAAAAGCTTTACCTGGGGAGCGCATGGCTGCTTTGAGTCGCTCGCTGGGGTCACTAACCAGCTAGATGCTGCCGGTCTGTGCTGCGTTCCAGGACTGGCTCCAATCACACATTGCTTGCTACTCCGTGGTGCTTGTATCCTACGCCTTGCTGTACAAAGGAACTCTGGAAGCATGATGCATTTGCCAACCCTAATCCATTAGCATTCTATACATAACAACAACAAAAAATGTACCCGTGTATAAATGTTTTCTCTAACATGACTGTCACAGGCATAGTTGAAAGATAATTTGCCACTGTTATCAACAGCACAGGGACAATGCAATTCTCACAGGATCAGAGCCTTAACTTCTAATACAGAGAATGTGTAAGGAAAACCTGTGGAAGTATTTTCACGATTGCACAGCAGATGTGTTACCTGACAGTTTTGTACATAAGAAGGAACTCGGGTTGTAATTGCTTGTTTTGCAGTATCTGCCTCTAGAGGAGCGCCTATTTGATTTTCTTTTTTTTTTTTAATATTTGAACTTGCAATTGGGTCAGAAGAAAGTCTCTCAGCTGAAGAAAGTCTCCCAGCTGTTGATTCTGAAGTCTTACAGAACACAGCTAGTTTAGGCCTATACACACAACTGCTGGCTTGTGCTGTCCTAGAAAGAACAGAGTGAGTCAGAATAATGTTGGAGCCCAGGAAAGTGAAATCCCCAGCTTGAAATGAGTACCTGCTGGGACTCTTGCCCAAGCTAGGGCCCCCCAAAATCTCCAGGATTGGCCCACCCCAGATAACAGAGGCAGAAACCCAAGCTCTGTTCATTTCTAACAGCTCTTTTATGTGGAAACTTACCCTCCATTCCCCCTGCAGGGAGCAGAGGGTAGGAGAGAATCTAAATTTCAGCCCATCAGTAAATTAGTTCACCTCCCCCACACCCCTAAGTATATTTAGGAATGATCATCTTGGCTCTTAAAATTGGCTTGATGAGTTCTTTAATGTCTTACCTGTCTGGCTTGATTTCTATCTACTAATCATCTAACCATCTCTTGACTTCTCTGTTTTGTTTTCTCCCTTTGTTGAGCTGTAATCCAAGAGCTTAGATGTGGCATTCTGCTTTTTTCTTGTCCTTTTTTTCTTTTTTAAGTCCTTTCTGAGGGTGCCTGGAATTTGCTGGAGCAGACTAATTGTGAGCGATCTTTTTTTGTTGTTGTTGCCGTAGTGCGTGTCCTGCGAGTGTGATCTTGGAGGCTCATCGTCAGGAGCCGAAGTCAGAATCAGAAACCACCAATTGTACTGCAATGACTGCTATCTCAGATTCAAATGTAAGAGAGCAAATCAAAGAGAAAATTTCTTGCCTTTTGAGGAGACCACGGGTTCCCTTGCCTTTCCCTGAGCCTGTAGCCCCCTCTCCCTCCAATTCACTACAGTAGGATTCTGGGTTGTGGAGATCTTAAGTCTGTTCCTCTCAGAGAAAGTGTGTAATGGACGGTCCCTACTCGTGGTTATAGCCAGACAGTGGGGAGAGGGGGGAAAGGTGGGGAAGAGGAACTGGGGAGGGAGGTGTACCCCCAAATCAGGGCAATGACTTTTTTTGTTTGCGAAAACAAAGACTTAAGAATGCAGTCAACCCAAACGACAGTACAAATGAATCTTCCAGTAGGCTGTAATCAGCTGCTTGATTAACTACATCATCAGCTTATTTCTGTCATCTACAAATAAGGTTTGATTGTGTGACTTAGTCTGTGAGCAACTTTGAAAATGAGCATCTAACGTAGTTAAGAATGTCAGCATATGATTACTGCTAATGTATAATTGTATATCGATGCATACAATATATTTTTAAAACAACAGAGAGCCTTAATTCTGATTATATAGTGTTTCAAGTGTCAATGCTGGTACAGTGGAGTTTTTCAAAAACTTCAAGTGCTCAGCATGCCTTTTTGTTATAAAGCACATATGTAGGATAGCATGATGAGATTGCATATCATTTCCAGCTACAGCAAGACAATGATTACTGCGGTATTGATTCTGAACCTTGATACTGGTAACGTGCTTCTTCCTTATTATGAAAGGGTGTTACAAGTGGTATCAGCAAAGCCATTTGCTTTTGAACGCAGAGGTATTTATGTGGCCCCTAATGTGAAGAGTGCTTTGGAAATGGGTGGAGCCCTGTTAACTCTCTCTCCTCTGTCAGTGGCATCTCAGTCTTCTCTCCCCAGCTGTCCAGTTCTTCCCTGGACTCTAATGCTGAGGCTGGAGAATGTCAAGGCTGGACAAGAACCACATGAGCCATGTGGGGGGAGTGTGTATGTGGGTATGTGTGTGTGTGTATGTGTGTATGTGTGTGTGTGTGTTTCTATTCTGAAGCCAAATAGAAATTGAATTGTGGACTCATCGCAAAGTTGTCCATGCCTTTCTCTCTTTTGGTGCACACAATAGAGAGTTGAGTGCAATTTCTTTCTAGATCAGCAGTCCATATATGTTATTTTCTTGTTCTTTTGTCTTTTTTTTTTTTTTAAACAATAAAGAATTGGAGAGCCCGGAGGCTAGCTTTACCCTAAGCTGAGTGACAGGTGACTCTTTCTGCCTCACTTGGCCACTCTGGAGTGATGACTGTGTGTTATCCCCTGCGCCGATGGTGACACCTTTCTGAATCTAAGCACTTCTCTCTCTTCTCTCCTTGTCTGATCAGCCGGACGGCCAACTGCCATGTGACGTAAGCCTCCATTCGAAAGCACTGTTGCAGATAGAAGAAGAGGTGGTTGCTGCTGATTTAGATCTATAAATATGTGTTGTATGTCCTTTTTCTCCCTCTTTTTTTAAAAAAAAAAAACAACAACTTTTTTTTTGGCCTCATTAGATTATATAGGAACACCATAGTCTTGGTAGATTCTGGATTTTTGATGCTTATTTATAAGAAGGTAATTATATGTGTGTAGAGAAAAGTGCAGTATTTACTTTTTAAATTCAGCACCCTAAAAAGCACAAGGAAAAAAGAATAAGAGCTGAAAAAAAAACAGTTTTTTTTCCAAGGCTGATAGTGATCTAGTTTGACTGGAGTGGTGTTTTGAAGAGGGTATTTTATTGTTTCTTTTTTTTTTTAAGGTTCTTGAACATTTTCTGAAATAGTTAATTTAAAGATGGAATGGCACTTGCTCTGTTTATTGTAATGTGTACTAAATTAATGTGGAACCACTTGGAAATGTCATTGAAATCCACTCCTAAATTTGCTTTTTGTATTCTTTATGCCTATGTAATATGATAGGAAAATAATTGAGTTTCTGAGACATTTAATTTACTCAATGGGGAGAGCTCTTTTTTTTTTCTTACCAGAATGGTGGCTAGCAAATCTGAAAATAAAGCTGCTTATTTTCAATAATGAAAAAAATTGTGGTTTGTACACCAGAAGTATCTTCAGAAACTAGTGAGCTTTTTGTCCAGCTGCATTGTAAATAAACTTACTGAAGCATTTAATGAGTGGTTCTTTTGTGTGTATAAATGTATGGGTGTATCTGTGTGTGTGTGTGTGTGTGTGTGTGTGAGAGAGAGAGAGAGAGAGAGAGAGAGAGAGAGAGAGAGAGAGAGAGAGAGAAAGCGCGAGCGAGCTTTCTACACCTTTTAATCACATTATTTCCTGATTTCTTTAGCTGCTTTACCAAGACATTATTGATATCACCTATTTAGATTGTACAATTTGACAAATTTTGGTATGTGTATACCTGTGAAAATATGATCAAGTCTTGGTGATTTTGCTGAGAAATTTTTATTTATTACTTTTATTTTTGGTTGTAATTTTTAGTATAATGCATTTGATGATATTTGATTGAATTGTTGGACCATTTTAATAGAATGTTTTATTGTGTTACCCCTGTGAAAATAGGTAGAGCAGAAGCAACAACAACAAAGACAGGTATTCTGTTTTAGAAATCTAGAGTAGAAATGAAGAAATATAAAATATGTGAAAGCAAAAGTATAAAGCTTCTCAACTCTTTTATAAAAATGTAAATGAAGTGAATAATTCTAGGAAATAGAAAAATGTATAGTTGAAAACTATTGAAGAAAATTTAAAATTTAGTTCCAATTTTTGTTGTTGTTGTTGTCTGTAGGGCTTAAACTCAGTCTGGGCACTGTCTCTGAGCTCTTTTGCTCAAGGCTAGTGTTCGACCAGCTCCACTTATAGTTTTCTGATAGTTAAGGGGAAATAAGTGTCTCATAGACTTTCCTGTACAGGCTGACTTTGAACCATGATCCTAAGCTCACAGTCTCCTGAGTAGCTGACAACTTACTCTTTATCTCCAATTTGAATTTATTGAGGGAAACTTGCTAGGTGCTCCATAGCCTATAAGACAATTCTCAGCCCCAAACTCCAAAGATATGAGCTGTGTTGAACTCATGACGCATATAAATATTTATTCTGTATTCTTGGTTAACACTAGGCTATGAATATTTCCAAGTCTTTTACATGATTTTTACTTTCTTCTCTCCCTTTCCTCTTCTCGTGCATGTTGTGCAAGTCCTGCACTACTCAGCTACCCTCTTTGTTCTTGATTTCTCTTTGGCTCTCTCTCTCTCTCTGTCTCTGCCTCTCTCTTTCTCTCTGGCAATATTTGGGTTTTAACTCAGGCTTTTGTACTTGCAAGGCAGGCATGTTCTACTGCTTAGGCCATGACCCAGACTTTGCTTTTCCTTTTATTTTTTTTAATAGGTCTTAGATTTTTTTGACTGGGGCTGGCCTTGCACTGATTCTCCTTCTTGGGTAGCTAGGATTACAGACACATGCTACCTCATCCAGCTTATTTGAGATGAGAGTCTCTGCTTGAAGACTGATACTCCTAATATCTGCTGCCCCACCAAGTCTCTTCCATTTCCTCCCCTCCCCTCCCATCTCCCCTTCCCTTCTTCTCTCCATTCTCTACTTTCCCTTTCCCTTTCTCCCTGTTTCCATTTTCCCCTCTTTCCCCCTTTTCCCCTTTTTCTCCCCTTCCGCTTCCCCTTCCCTTTCCTCTGGTCCTGAGCAGTGTCCCTGATCTTGTTTGCTTGATCCATAACTCCATGTCTGGCTTTTTTGGTAATTAATTGGATGAAGAAAAGAGTCTCATGGACTTTCTAGCTCAGGCTGGCTTCAAACTGTGATCCTTAGATCTCAGCCTCCTAAAGAGCTAGGATTATGGGCTGGGAAGGTGGCTCAGTGGTCGAGCGCTTGCCTTGCATGCCTGAGGCCCTGGGTTTGATTCCTCAGCACCACATAAGCAAAAAGAAAAAAGCCAGAAGTGGTGCTGTGGCTCAAGTGGTAGAGCATTAGCCTTGAGCTGAAGAGCTGAGGGACAGCGCCCAGGCCCAGAGTTCAGGCACCACAACCAGACCCGCCCCCCCGCCAAAAAGAGCTAGGATTACAGGTGTGAACCACTGGCTTCTTGTTCCATTTATTTTTAATGGCTGTATAGCACTCCATTGTTTGGCTGTACCAATATTTAGATGATACATTGTGTAAATTTCAATTGTGTCTAATATCTTTATTTTTACATGTATATAAATATACTATGTATGTAATTATGTATTTTAATGTAAGTTGCATGGACTTCACTTCTCTGTTCACAGAGCAGCCACGTGGTGCAGTTGAATTAGGGAGGATTGTGGGGGTGGGGTGGGGCGGGTCAGTGTTGCAGGACTTTGGCTTTGTCTGTAAATAGGATAAGGAGACTTTGGAGGGGGTTGAGCAAAGAAGTGAGATGAACTGACTTCCGTGTTAAACAAGGACTAAAAAGCAAGTAGCCTGCTTAAACACACACACACACACACACCATCTTGGAGTCACAAAACATCTTCAACAAGGCAGTATCAGCAGCAGTAGCAGGGGTGGGAAGACCATAGTGTATATTGAAATAAAACCTATCTGTATTTGATGATGTGAATGAGAGGAAAAGAAGAGTCCATGACAGTTTGGAAGTACTGCCATGGGGTGGAGTTGCTGGAGAAGGGTGTGAGCAGGATACCTTTGGGATGGGGAGATGTTTAAACATGGAGAGGTGTTTTCAATATCCACGCACCAATGTCCAGCAGTCAGCTGGCTGTGCACATCTGGAATTCCTACCCTGGAGGACATCACCTGGCTTTTCATGATAACTGGAGGAGAGAAATGAGAAGAACCAAGTCCTGATGAGATACTCCTGCATTCAACATTAGAGATGCGGAAGAGTGTCGGCTGAGGCAGGAAAAAAACCAGAACTGGAGCTGCAGAAGCCAAGTGCTGATCATGTTTCCAGGACAGAGAGCCCTTCAGGGACAGTGGATCCCCAGAGCTGCAGGGAAACGATGTGTGCTGAGAGCTGGGCGGGTCTGCAGTGCAGGCCACGTGCATCTTGGGGGAGGGGGGTGTTTCCATGCTCTGGTCACTTGGTGGTCTTTCCTGAGCACAAACCCTGTCCATACTCCAGTCTCCCGCTCAATAATCTCTCCATATTTGACTTCTTTTTTTCTAGCAGTAAGAACTGAAAGAACATGGAAAGCCAACTCCAGGCCACTTTTTGTCTCTATCTGTTCCCAGAATACAGTAGTGCGTGGAACTATATTCCTGGTGTGTCTCGTGTCAAATCATCACACGTGTGGTCCTTCACAGCTGCCATAGTGCTTTTGTTCAGGGGAGGGATAGGAGTTGGATGTATTTTAGAATGTTGTTGAAGGAAAGCTACTGGGGTTGTGGGTACTCTGTCTGCCTCAAGAGGCAGAGCCAGATGGCCAGGCCGCTTCGGCTCTCCTGCCTTCTGTTGCTCAGACTGCAATCTCATAGGCAAGAGGCTAGTTGTGGTCAGACTTTCATACTTCAAGATACAAATAAGCTTTGGCCTTTTCCAGGGTAGCTCCCAGTCCAACCATATGGCTGCTACGAATTCTCCCCAGATTCTAGCATCTGAGTGCTAGTTTTAATCTTGAGTGCAGCCGAGTATCAGTAGCTCATACAAGCTACTCAGGAGGCTGAGATCTGAGGATTGAGGTTTGAAGCCAGAGGGAGCAGATAAATACAATAGAGTCTTATCTCCAATTAAGAAAAAATTCTAGAAGTGGAGGTATGGCTCAAGCGATAGAGTACCAGCCTTGAGTGCAAGAAATTAAGGGAACAGTACCCAGGACTGGAGTTCAAGCCTTAGCACCAGCATGAACTAGAAAACAACAACAAAACAACAAACAAAAAACATTAGCGCAAACAATTGCCATTATTTTAAATGGCTTCAAGCATACTTGTAGGAAAGCAAGGAGAAGCTGTCAAATTCCTGTCTGCATGTGTTAGTAATGCATAAGCAAATTCTGTTATTAATTAATTTATTGCCAGTACTAGGGCTTGAACCCAGGCCCTGGGTACTATGTTTTAGCTTTTTTACTCAATGTTGGCCCTCTACCTCTTGAGCCATAGCTCTACTTCTGGCTTTTTGGTGGTTAATTGGAGATCAGCATTTCACAGACTTTCCTGCCAGGCTGATTTTGCACTGTGATCCTCAGATCTCAACCTACTGAGTAGCTGGGATTACAGGTATGAGCTACTGATGCCTGGTAAAGTTCTGGCTGTAGAATTTTGTAAATATGCCTGAAACTTACCTCTTTCTATTCTTGATTTAAAAGGCAGTATTGATTTAAAAGGCATCATCCTGAGATGATGATGGTTACCCCAGTTTACCTAGTTAAGAAAGAGCTTTCTGTGTCTGTGTATAATGAACTGCAGTATGCTGGGCCAATCAGGAGCTCTTACTGGAGCTAAAGGAAAAAAAAAATACCAATTTTGTTTTTGCTACGCATCTCCCAGGCTTCCTG